TCATGTGTGGTGTTTTTCAGCTGTATAACTTCGGGGAAACGGTGTCCGTCGTGTTTTGGACGGAAACCTGGAGGCCGGAAAGCTTCTACGACAAAATCTGTAAAAACAGAGCAGCCGGACTGCACACGCTCTGTCTGCTGGGTGAGCCGCGCACACACACACAAACACACACACACTCACGTTAGGAAAGGGGAAATGGCAAAGAATGCAAATTTGTGCTTTTATATTGAGCAGCTTTCCCTTCTCATGCATTCTGGATCCTCCTCCCTGCCTTCAGGGAGTCACCAGGTGTCTGTTAACCCACAACCCAGACCACCATCAATCAACCTGGGGCCCCTAAAGGCCCCAAATCCCCTAAACCAACACCCCAGAGGGGGGGGGATAACCTGCTGGTGTCTGTTCATTGTTAATATTCATTAGAAGAAATAAATGAATAATAGGAATAAGAGTCAGACGCTCTAATCCATCATCTTCAGTCCACAGCAAACACAGGGCCGCATCAGTCAGTTTGTGTTAATCATTTTACAGCTCACGGATCAATGCAATAACCATTAGAAAAGCAAGCTGAGCCTCAGTAATAAGTAAAGAAAACATCATAAACCCACGCATTGTCAGCACAAAACCAAACCCTTACCCTTAGGTTTATACCTCATGTTAACTTATCCGGTTTCACACAGATTTCTTTCTGGTTTTTCTTTATAAATCTCAACAGCTTCTCAAATCCACCGAACATTACCTTTGAAGGATTTGATACATTTCAATTACAGCTGTTTTAAAAACAAAAAGATAAATTAATTGGAAAGTGGTGAGAAATCAGTATCCTGTTGTAATATTTTCAGGGCAAACACAGAAAAAGTGTCCATTTCTGTAAGCTGAAGTTGCCTCCTTCTCTGTTACTAACAGATATTAAAGTCAAAGAGCAAAGCATCGAGAACATGATGAGGTAAGAACAAGAGCCGGGTCCCGGTCCTTGTGGATCCTTGTGGATCATGGTCTGCGGTCCCAGCTGCTCTCACATGGTTTCTGCTCAGTCTCATGCTGTCATTGTGGTAATGGGTAACCACGGTAACACGATGCTGCTGTCAGGTGGGACCTGACCACCGGGCAGTTTCCCTCTGCCACAGGGACGAGCCCACAGAACAATTTTAACTCTGACTTCACCTCACTGGGACACTAAGTTGAACATGGATGAGTGGGTTCACACCTGAAACAGCCTGATTAAAACAGCAGTAATTGGGAAATATTCAATAAAACTAAACCTTCCTGAAGTTTTCAGGCTCTAAAACGTCCCAAAAACACAACCCTGGTATCTTAAGTTCCTCTTTGTTCAACGTGCCGGTCTGATGCTCATTTATAAAGACGTCACTCCTTATTTTGGCTCCAGTCCAAGAAACTGAGATATAATGTCCTGATTTATTGTCTCCTCTAGCAGGCGCTAACACTAACAGCTAGCTAATGAGGAAGACGCACAGCAGCTGTCCTGGTAAAGATGGAGTCCTCCAGCTGTTTAATGGAGTAGATATATCCAAAATGATGGTACACATGCATCATTACGAGTTACAGTAGTGATGTTACCGGCCTGGTCCATTAGCATTGCATTTCCCTTTGGGATCAAAAGAGGAATTATTTTTATCTGAATATGGGGCTGCAGACGTTTTGGTCTGACTGGAGGAATGACTTCATGATGATGAAGTTTTCTGAGTTAAACTAAGTCAGATTTCATAGCATCAGTCTTGGCTTTGATGAAAGCTAAAGGGCTCGACATGTCTGGAAGTGCCTTAATGTTCAGGGCTGATTTTACTGGCTTATTTCAAGTTTAGTCACAGGGAGTCCTTTTCTGACTAGAAACTCAAACCAGCATTATAGTATTTTGATCAAAACCTCTCTCATTCATCTCAGTAGAACCTCAGAAAAAGTTGGGTGTCTTAATGTTCAAATCCTCTCGAACCTCCCCTTAAAAAAGTGGTCTCCTTAAGATCAGACTTACAATTTATGACCCTGCTGTATCCATTATTGATTCCAGAGGAAAGAAGATCTATGAACCTCCTCGCTTCATGACGGTCAGTCAGGCCGCAGATCAGCTGATTCAGATCGTCCACAGGAGGCGGGAGGAGGGGGAGGAGCTAGGTGAGTCCTGCCTGACCTGCCCGTTTAGTCTTGTGTAAACTGTATTGTGAGCAAACGAGGACAGAATAAACAACCAATCAAATCAGAAACTCGGTTGTTTTTTGGCAGGCCTTATCCAATCAGCTTCATTTACAGTCTGTGGCCCCTCCCTCCAGGTGTCACCGAGGACACGGTGTGCGTGGGCGTGGCCCGGCTCGGTTCCGACGACCAGGTGATCCGCACGGGGACGTTACAGCAGCTGGTGTCATGTGACCTAGGTGGGCCGCTCCATTCGCTGGTCGTCACCGGTCAACTCCACCCGCTGGAGGTGGACATGCTGCGAGTGAACGAAGAACCAAACGCACTGCAGCATCTGAGGATGATTGACAGCTCAACATACATATCCTAACACACACACGTGTGTGTGTGTGCATCCTTATGGGGACCATTGAGGCCAAGTCAGGCAAAGTCTTCACAATGGGGGGTTAAACCAGAGATCTGCCCTCACATTTACACACATGGGATAGTTATTTATGCAAAACAATAAACTGATCCTTTAAAAAGAATTATTTGCGTATATTGAAATTGTTTATTCAGCATCATGTTACCATTTAAAGTTGAACTGCTTCTCTCCCAAATGCAATTTACATATCAAAATCAGTATTATAAATTAAACCCCTTTAACATCTGTAAATACAGACATATTTACCATCTATTAGAAGGTCTGAGTCAGCTAAACACTCAAAACCGTTTCTACATCCCACAGAATCCAAAAACATAAGTTTCATAGAGCAACGACCAAGATTCTCTGAACCAGCACCAAAAGAAGAGCAAGGTCACGCATCAGTCTCCAAAAACGTCCACAGAAAACATTGCCTTACCTTTTCTGTCCTGCTGCCAAGATAGAAACCAAACCAGACACATTCAGGGAACTCCTCAGTGTTGGCCTCAATCTGAGACCAACAGTTCACTCAGAGTTTGGAGTTACAGAGAAACACTCCTTCATGGGACTGCACTGTTCTGATTACAAAACACACCTGATTTCAATAAAGATATAGACAAAATATCTCATCTTGAAGAAACAATTATTTATTACAGCTTTAAAAAAAAAAAAAAAGAAGAAAAAGAAGAGTGAACCCTACCGACAGGTCACATGGTTTGGTCACATGTTTTGGCACAGTAAAAACAGTGACATCACTAATACTGTGGACGGATAAGTTCCAGCAGTGATGTCATCGGTGGTGGGAGGGGCTCAGATTGTCTCTGATTCACAATGAAGGCACTTACCCAGAATGCTTTGGGAAAGGGGGCGGGGGGATGCCCGGCAACCCAGATAGGTATGTTTAAAAAAAACAAAAAAAGAGCGTGCGGGGCTGTGTGAGTCCATCAGTTCTATTAGCCCCTCCCCCTTTCCTCTGAGTCCATCCTGTGGTGACTCCAAGGGGTCAGAGGTCACCTGCAGCAGTAGACTCAATCTGATTGGTCCCTATTTTGGAGAAAGAGCTTCTACATGGCGGCCGTTTCGATCTGAACGTATAGCTGTCGAACACCAGCCTGTGGAGACACGAACACACACGTTCAACACACTCTGTCCCCACGGCGGGCGGGTGAGGGGCGGTGGTGCGTTCAGGTACCTGTGTGAAGATGTTGTGCGTCTGGCTGAGGATCCAGCGAGGGTCGGCGTCGGGAGCCACCAGCAGCTTTAACGTCCCGATGTAAACGTCAGTACAGAGCGTCCAGAAGTGAGGCTCCTGCAGGTTGTACACCCCCTTCAGCTGCTGCACCTGAACGCAGCACACCAGCAATTACACACGTCCGCAACGCAGAACATACCATGTAGCCAAGGCAGGCTTTGACTTGGGATCAGGTCCCAGTGTTTTGAACCCAAAAATCCCCAAGTTGGTAAGTGGAACAAATACAAATAGGGATATTAAACATAAAACAATTACATTTTTAACCAGCATGTTTAATGAAATTTTGTTATCAACTCATATTTTGCCCTGCGATGGACTGGTGGACTGTCCAGGGTGACCCCGCCTCTCGCCCACTGACCACTGGGATAGGCTCCAGTTCTCCCTGCGACCCCATTAGGGAATAAGCGGTAACGATAATGGATGGATGTCATATTTTATTAACATTTATAATTTTATTTTCTGATCGTTTATCCAATAATTTCTTCATTAGTCAAATCTTTTATGTTCTATTTATGGATTTGTTTTAATACTTAAGTCTTTCATACCATGGTGTTTTTCTTTCTTTTATACATTTAAACTCTTTTTATCCAAACTCTAAGAGCTTTAGTTTTCCACTAACGTTCGTGAGGGTTCATACTTTTCAAGATAATCTTTCTTTGTATATTTACGTCTCTGTGTGACTCAGGCTTGTGGTTTGGGGAGTGGGTGGCTGATGTGGTGTTTTATTCATTTTCCTAATTCTTATCTTTATCTTTCCTGATGATTTCTTTGTTGTTTTTAAATTATGTAAATCGCTTTTTGTTGCAATTCTTTTTGAACGAAAACAGCATTTGACCTGACTTTTTAAACGGGTTGGCCTTGTGGATTGTATTTTTTCCGTGGCTGTGGTCTCACCCTCTGGTAGCACTCTGGCAGGGCGTTGTCCAGTGACGGCGGAGTTCTCTGCATCAGGATCCCAATGGACTCCCTCAGCAGTGGCACCACGCTGAGGTTAGAGGGGAAAGGTTAGCACACTGCTGCCAGTTTTACAGCAACCAACACAATGCAAAGTACTGCTGGCCCCCCACATGGTCACGTCATGTCCCAGCATTCCAGGAGCCTTTGAATGCACCACACAGAATATAACTTAGGAATTAGTGATGTGTGTGCGGGTAAAAATCAGCAGAAAATGTCCATGTTTGTGCCTCTTTAATGTGTTCAGATCAAAACGTGGCACGCAGAGCGGGTTAAACACATGTGGAGCTTCACAGAGTACATTTTCTCTTAAACTCTTCAAACTGTGGGCTGGTGGGTGACTTCACTCATATATTCTGGGATTGGCTAAAAGGTTTATGGAAAGTAGTCTTAAAGGAAATAAAGAGAACATTGGACATTGTACTACTTGACCCTACCGTGCTTATACTGGTGAAACCACATGATAGAAACCATAAATATTTGCTAAGAGCGTTGCTCATGGTAGCGTCCACAACCCTGTCCGATGGGGAAACAAAGCAAGAGAAGTATTTATAATGGAAAGACGTAGAGCCAGACAGCCGTTTTATTTAGAGTAGAACTGCTCTTCCAGACATTTCGCTGGCGTTCGGGCTCTATTGTTCGGGGGCTGCTGGGATCCCGACCGCTTTCCATGTGCGGAGTCTGTAGGTATTTAGCTGGAGCAGCGCTCCGCGGTGACTTTGACTTTCCAGCTGCAGAAACCCGATCCCTGTGGTTGTGCGAAGGCCTCTCAGCTGACCACAGCTCTGCTGTGCTGAGTCCTAAAATATGCAGCTACGTTCACTTCCAGCCTATCATACTACATCAGCGCACGTCAGCTTCATTTATCGCTGGGCCTTCTGAGAAATGTGACCAATGCATTTCCATGCCGGGGCGCAGGCCAGACTCCAGGACCATTTCCACGTCCACATCGGCGGTCTGGCACGTTAAAGCCCATTAACTGCTAATTGCACATGCTTCACATTGATGGAAACCATTTTCCACAGTGTCCATCAGGTCTCAGATGGACTTCCTTCCTTAGTTTGAGGTCATTCCTCTGTGGAGTCGAACACCTGAGAGATAATCCATACCTCTGCATTTACTCATCTATGAAAGTTCCCTTTTAAAGTTCGGCATCTCGAATGGCACGTTTGCTGACTGAGATGTAAAACATCAAAAGGTTTTAATCCAATAAACCATTAAGAGGTCTCATCCTGTACGGAACTATAGACTGTTGACAAAGTCCATTTTAGGGATCCTTAAAGAAGTTTTACAAGGTTACACAGTTCTCAAATGTTTTAATAGCTCACTGAAGAGGTTGTGAGGTATTTTCTGTTGGCTCTGAGGACGTGTTTAAGGATTCTTCATGAGGTCTGTGGAGGTTAAACGAACACTTAAGAATGCTGCTGTTTCCAACCACTAAAGTAGCTGCAAGGCAAATTCAGAGGTCTTCGAGGTAATTTAAGTGGTTCCTTTGGTTTTCAAATGCAGTCCCATGCTGTTGTTTTTGAGACAAGATGCCATTGGATTAAATCATACAATTTCATGTGGGTGCAAGTCGCATTTTTAGGTGCATTGGAACATTATTACTTTGTAGTAGTTATTCATGATATGTGGGAGGGAGTCCCGGTAATAATCCAACTGGTTCTAATTAATGGTTGTGTGTTTAAATGGGGGGGGGGGGGGTTACTCAACACTGAGCGGGTTTTTTATTCATAGGTATAAAGGTTTTTCTTTGGGGGGAGATTCAGCTTTCGTTTCACACATATGGGAAGTAAAAGCTGGTAGCTTAAGAGGTCACAGGCGCTTTAAGGACCTGTAAATCTCTTAACGGCTTATGTTGCCAGCCAAATAAAATAAGAGGTTCAGAAACCAATTTATGAAACCTTAATGGTCAATAAAACCCACATAACTGACATATTTGGGCCAAAAAGGGAATCTAACAGTTTCTTAAATGTTTAAAGAGGTTGAGCATGGTTGTGTTTTATCTTAAAAACATCTTAATGATTTGAAGTACATAGGTGTCAGAGAGGGGAATTAGAGGTTACTGAAGAGTTTCAGGTAAAATGGAAAGGTTTAGGCCTCTAGATCAGATTGCATTTTAAAAGGTTCTAGAGGCTGGGGAGGGGGACGTCAGTTTCAGATAGTTAAAGGTCATTTGCTGTTTAATACCAGACCTGCCCCTTATATGAGGGTCAAAGAGGTACTTCTGGTCCCTGAACTGGTCCTCTTTGTCACTGAGAACGTTAGAAGAAAACCTGATGGAGGAAAGTGAGCTGAACACTGATGGAGGGTTCAAACACCAATAACCTGCCGCTTTTTCAATTTTTGTGTCAGCAGAACACAAACAGGAAGTGACCTCACAGCATTGTTCACCTTCCTGTTTTTACACATGCACACACATCAGCAGGCCGCCATCACTCAGGCACGCTGATTGGTCAAAGAATGTTTTTAGTCTGTTCCCACAGGGCGGCTTTATCTGAAGCCCCGCCCACTTAGACATCCCATTACAGGCTGCAGTTATAGCGGTCACTCAGCAGAGAACCATCCAGTCAGACCGGAAGCGGGCACCAGGGCAGAGAGGGATCAATAGGTTTACCTGACTCCGATCAGGAGGGCGATCAGCATGGAGCAGATGGGATCGGCGATCATTAGGTCGTATTTCTGCATCAGCAGAGCCGAGATGATCACGCCGATGCTCCCCAGAGTGTCAGCGATGATGTGAAGGAGGACTCCTGAACCACAAAAACATCACTATATTAGCTCAGCAGCACAGTTTGAGGCTTAAAAATAAAAATAATGCTTATTTATGATCAAATTATTTAGTGTAATATTATATATTAAGATATTATAGTAAATATAGCTAACTTACAAATAAAAATGTAGTTGTACTTTGATTCAATTTTAAAAGGTTAATCTCATTCCTATGATCAAACTGTAATCTTACTTCATACCTCTGTTTTCATAACAAAATCATTGTATTCTTGGATTTGCAATATTTTTTCCACTTTCAATTCAATTCAAAAGTTTCCAGATGGAAAAACAACCATCCCATATTTCTGATAATTCTGTTAATCTAAAATCAATCATTCTTAGTACGATAGTGTGTGAGCGCCCTCTGGTGGCTCAAATATCAAATTACGGAACATAAAAAGCGGCTTGATTTAGTTTGGAGCTCCAATTTCCCCTTTACTTCCTCTGCGGGGAGCCAAAACATTTTAAGAAGCCACCTACGTGTGTCATTTGTCAGAAATTATGTTTTCAGATATTGTTTTTCATCTAAAACCCAAAGAGTTTCAGGTGACGTGAAGAAGAAGCAGCAGATCTGAGCCCGCTTTGGGCGGCTGACACTCACCCTGCAGGATCTGTTTGCTGGAGCCTTTCCCCGGCGTGTGCAGCAGCTCGTCTGGAATAAAAACATGAAGACAAGAAATTATTCAGTGGCTTCATTTTACAGATAACCTGACGTCACACCCTGGCGACTCAGAGGCCGACAGTCTGCTGCCGAGACCTTTTCAGCTCCACTCATCGCACTTTGAACCCCAACAGAGTGGGAGTGCTAATGTAGCTGAAACCAGGAGCTGCTAAACCACAAAAGATGGGTTTGTGAGGAAATAGAGGAAAAGGGAACAGTGTTCGCTGAGCTGTGCTTTCGTAACGCTACAAGCTACCAGGCGGCAGCCAATCAGAGCTAGGTGGACTTTTTTAGGCCTCGTTTCCTCCTATGGGAAGCCCCAAAGGGCTGTAAGTGACGTGAGAGGAGTCTCACCATGACAGTGTGGCTCCTCGTGTCCTCCGTGGCTGTGACCGTGTCCGTCGTGAGAGTCGTGGCTGTGCCCGTGGCCGTCGTGGCCGCCGTGGCTGTGACCGTGCCAGTCTGCCTGCTTGCTGTGGTGCTCATGTCCTCCGTGGCTGTGGCCGTGATTCGCGCTGCCGTTGAACAGCGAGTGGCTGTGGCCGTGACCTGAGGGCGCACAGGGAGGCCTTAGAGGGGCGGCGTCCGGCTGAACGCCATCCAGGAGGCTGCAGCGAGCTTCCACTGCCCCGAACGCTAATACCTACTGAGCATTCACTTCGCTTACCTCCCTCTCCGTGCGAATGCCCGTGTCCTCCGTGCTGGAACACAAAGATCCCCACCAGGTTGACCAGCAGGCCGGCCACGGAAACGGGGAGCAGCCGGTCGTGGTGAACGTCGGGGGGCTCCAGCGCTCTCTAACCACAGACAGGAGGATACATCAGTCCTGTTTGGGAGTCTCAACACCAAACCCACTTCTCCTCCTGTGTCTGAGGCATTTTCAATCCGTAAGAAGGCAGAGCCTCTTCCAGAGCCCGCCCACACGTGCCTTCAATCCATGGCTCTGAAAAATTCTGTCTTACCAAGATAAAATAACACTCAAAATGTTCCCCAGAAACCAGCAGGTTATCCTTAAATTTAAAGCAAAACAAACAAATAACAAACAAACTTGTCTTTTAAAGGAGATTCAACAGGTTTTCTGTTCTTTTTCTTAAATATAACATATTTTCCCTTCAAATGTTCCATTTTGTTCATGTAAATTAGGGTAATTCATGGAGTTCTTCTGGATTCTTATAAACTTTCATCATGCTGATGATGGTGAGTTATATTTATCTATACATCTGAAAGACAAAACCAGCTGCATGACAATGATTTTTCTTCCTTTGGACCCTTTTCTATCCACATATCAATTCTGAATCTTATTTCTTTGTCTTTGACTCCAACACAGAGGAACCCGTTAGTTATTTCCTGAGCAGAATCTATCTTCTGAGCTTCATATCGAACAGGTTTCCAAGTCGTAATATCTTTTAAGTATCTTGAGATGAGATTTGTTGGGATTTGACGCTTAATTAATTGGATTGATTTGCTCTATATGATAATTTGGTTTTCGAAGAGTCGTATAAAATAAAGCTGAGCTTTGTTGTTCAGTCCATTTCTTTGGTTGGTTAGAAGAAGAACCGGAACCCAAAAATACCCATAACTCCTCAAAGTGGATTGTCCAAACGTAAGTTTGTTCTGTTTATGCTTCACAGTTGAGGTTCACAGAAAGAGAGGTGTGTCTCGTGTGGTACCTCCACTCCTTCAGAGAAGATGAAGAAAGCAGTGAAGATGAGGAACAGCCCGTTAACGAAGCCCGCCAGAACCTCCGCTCTCACGTACCTGAGACACAGTGAGGACACACAGCAATCAGACACACAGTGGCTGGTTCAGACCGGGCTGACGGAGCTGAGGGGGGGGGGGGGTCTCACCCGTAGGAGAAGCTGTCATTGGATCTCCACCTGGAGATGACGGAGGCTGCGAGACCTGCCAGCAGGGCTGTGCAGTCGAAGAACATGTGGAAGGAGTCTGAGATCAGACCTAAACTGGAAACACAATCAAAGACAAAAGCAGAATGGGTTCAAGTAACCGCGTATTTCCACATTAAGATGTAAAACTGTGAATTAAATGTATAAAGACACTTTGAAATGGTGAGCTGTTCATGGGGTGGAACCAGCATGATCGTGCACACAGGTGACAACATTCGCTCCCAATTGGTCTCTGGGCTTTGGCCCCAAAGTCAGCATGTCTGTTTTGCTAAAGTAAACATGCCTTCTGTCTGAATCTGTTGGTACAGTAGTTTTTTTAGCATTTCCGATGTTTTCCAGATGCTCATTCAGTCAGCTGGCAAACGGAGGGCAGGGGGACTGAGAACAGTTAGAAGTGTGATGATATGGACTTCCTGCTTTTTAGCCCATAAAAAGGAGAGCACAGTGAATAAAAGGGTAAATAAACACAACTTCTAATGATATTATTGCTAACATTTGTCTCTTTCTGTGGATTCTTTGTCACTTTTTAGTTTTTTAGCCAAATATATATTTTATAAATAATCAATGAATGATTCCATGACAAGCTGTTGCAATATTTTTGCTTAAAAAAGGTTTTGAGGTCATATTTCTCTCTTAATATCTATTTACAACAGTGTCAGCTAACTATAAACTTTATTTTAGTTTTCTTTGACCTGTTTTTAGGATCGATGAGACGTTCAGGGTCATTTTGGGATTGTTCTGTATAGATTAGAATGTGGTTCAAACAAACAAACACACACACGTACTCTCACAAACACACACACACAGTTGCTCCATGCTAATGCTAACACATACGTGGCACATCCTTGTCACGCGCACACGCACGCTGCGGCGGCTGCTAACGCGTTTAGCCTACCTGTTACTCCAGATACCGTAGCTCAACTCCACAAATGCGAAGGACAGGTTGAGACAGAGGAAGAAGAAAAGATTTCTGGAGGTTTTATCAGCGAGGATGGACCTGGGAACGAAAGCAAACCTCCGTCACACCAGGAGCCACGAACAGCACTAAATCAGCTTCTTATCCCCTTTTCGGCCACAGTGAGACTCAAACAGACACATATCGTACCGGCAGACGCGAACACACCGAGTGTCATTGGAAATAAACCCATTTTTGGGACAGATGGAGCTCATAGAGGAGCACATCTGTTAGGGGTAGCCGGTTAGCATCAGGCTAGCAGCTTATCCTAGCTTACGCCGGTTAGTGGCTGTTAGCTTAGCTCACCTGAACCATCCGGACAGTTTGACCAGCAGGTTGAATTTAGCCGGTTTGTACTCATCGTCTTTAATTGATAAAGGTAACATCTTTACACCTGGTCACTGTCGCACTCACACCCTCAATGAGTACCGAAACTGAGGGATGCTAACTGTCAACTTCCGGTTTGTGCTGCTTTCATAATAAAGCCGGTTAGCAGTCTGTGTTTTTAGCATCAAAACCACCATAAAACCTGTTTTAACGCTAATACACAAGAATATATGCTTCCTTTAGCAATAATAACATATTAGAGTAATTTAATAATTTCCCACGACCAACAGTCTTAAAATAACTCATACAGTAAAAAAAAAAAATGGTAAGAAATAAAGTTATTTGTAAAAAAAAAAAAAAAAAAAAGGTTTCCATATGAACAAAAGCATTTTTTCTCAAAAAGTAATTATTCTTCCCTCTCGTTAAACATATTCTCATTTTAATAGAATGTTATAAGAGGACTAACAGAAAAAGGATTCAGTAAAAACTATTCCAAAATGTTCCAGAAAACACTTAAAATTCAGATTCTGCAATCAGAGGAAAATAAATAGAAACTGAGAACAAAGCTAGTCCTTTTAGTATTCGTAAATTTGAAAGTAATTGCTTTTCCCTATTATCCATATAATTCCCATTTTCAAAAGAATAGTATCAATATATTGACAAAAGTAATTAAAAATGTATTTCTGTTTTAAGAATGATTAAAATTTGAATTAATATTGTTCTGCCTTTTTCTTATAGTTTTATCAGTAAAATTTAGTGCATCTACTCTGATTTAAGTCCTTTCCATGTGGTTTTTGGTCTGAGCAGCAGATGGTGCCCTGGTGCAGTATTTTGAGCCTTGGGTCAATTTCTGGATGTTTACTCAAACATGAAACCACAGGATCAGACTCTCCAGAATAGAGGACGGAGGCAGGAGGGCTCTCAGAGGCTAAAGTTAGTTCATGTTAAACCTTTCCTAAGGTTTTACAGAACAAAGACTTTGTCTAATTAAAGATGAGCTTAATTAAGCTGATTCATTATTAAAAAAGCAACAGCCTTTATGCACCTTTTTTCATAAGACTGCTTTCAGTTTTGTGTTTATTCACATCTTAATGTTCCAAATCCTTTGGAATTATGAATAAATCTGCCGATACTTTCAGTTCTGTAATTCAAAGGAAGTTTGCTGAAAAACCTGCCAGCTTCCCAAAAACATGCTGTAATTATGTAAAAAAAAAAAAAGAATATTTTCCCCTTTAAATAACTCTGTTTAATAAAATTGCTTAACTTGAAAATATAGAAATATGAAATATTAACTACATCTTGGGGATTTTAACCCTTTAAAGGCCAGTGTATGCAGATAACTCCACTGGTTTATAAGAAATAAATTAGTATTTTCTTCTTATTGTTGTTATTTTCATTATTATTAATATTACTGTTATTATTTAATAGCTATTTTTTGTATCAGTGATTGGAAGCAGTTTTGTTTGTTGCCCCACCTGGTGGACAAATATAAAAATCCATCAATTATGAAAACATGACACCTCCACATGGAAAGGGATTTGAACTTGGGATCCTTTGACTGTGAGAAGACAGGGTGTGAATGTCTTCACCGTGTAGTTTAAGGTTGACAAAGCCTTTGGAATAAGAGAAGAATCGTCTCTGGGGTCCAAGAAATCCAGTTGCCCCTATTGAGCAGCATAATGGGGTGGAAACCACATCACAGACACAAGTGAGGAGAGTTGCTGCTAAATGAAATAATTTATTTGGACACAGAGAAGTCACCTGCAAGCAAGGGATCTCAGTTTTCTTTAAAATCAGCTAAAAACTCAAATGAGCCAGATTTCTAAGACAAATGCTCCCAGAGGCTGCAGAATAACTGGCTAATGATGTTATCAGGATAGGATTCTTGTTGCTTTTTATCAGAAAAAGAATAACTGACATGTTTGTTACCATTTCTGCAGAAACAGGGTCAAAATGCACATTTAGAAGTCTAAAGAGTGACACTGGTATCATTCAGAAGTTTCATTGCTGGATTTGGCCGCGTTTCTCTGCTCTGTTCCTCGTCATCTGGCAGAAAGAAACATTTCGGAGCTTTTTGTCCTTCAGACTGAGAGTGCAGATAACAGATCGGACTGATGGATGAATCTGGGCGCTGTGCCCCCACGCTTTATGCACATTCAGCTGAATAGCCTCCTGCGCTCCGTTGGAAAATGTCTCTCTTCTCTCCATCTGGTGTTTTTCTGCCGTGTGGTGTTGGCTGTCCTGCTGGGCCCCCGCGACCCCTGACCTCTGGACCTGGTTGTGTAACGGAGAGTTCTGCTGCGTCTTGTCGTTTCAGTCTCTGGCCCCCCCAGGCATTTCCTGCCCCAGAGGACGGACGGTGGGGCTTTCTGTTTTCCTGACCTGGAGCATCTTTGCCAGCAGTTTTTATTCACTTTGGGAAAAGGCTGCGTCTCTTCAGGAATCTCAAGTGCACAACGTCTTTGACTTCTGACCTCTGAGCTAAATCTGCTGTTAAACATGGAGTCAGCCGGAGTTCAGCATGTGTTCAGGTTGAAAAAGAGCCGTAAAGTCAATCTTTTTAAACCAAAATATCTTTGCCACAGGTTCTGACTTTTTTCGTCCAACCCGAAAAAAGTCAGAGAATGCTTTTTCTCTTGTTTAGATCTTTTAGGAATCATAAAACGAATTAATAAAAACATTTTTTTTTTCTGAAGTTTGTACTAAAAAATTAATACAAACAAATTAATTTATTTTTGTTTCCAGCACCATTTTGAGCCAACTTTTAACCCAAAGATGAGGCAAATGGTCTCAGAAATGTATCAAATACAGTTTTAAAGTTATTTACAGACACCTTTTGGGAGAGTTTCTGCTAAATTAAATCCTTAATATTTACAGAAAACAATCATATGGATGCAAAATATTTCACTTTCCTTTAAAATCAGCAAAAAACTCAATATTAGACATGTGAAATAAGCCAGATTTCTAATAAAAAGTTCTCCCACGGCTGTAGAATAACTGTGGGTAAGCGAGAAATCGGTTAAGGTTAGGTAAAGTAAACATCCAGAGGTGTCCACATACTTCTGAAACCCGCTTGAGGAACAAGTTGAACTGGTTTCAATCACATGAGTGGTGAGGCTGAAATGGACCCTGGGAACAGACTGTGGCTCTCTCAGGGGTCTGAAGCGGTGCCCGGTCCGAGGATTCGAGAAGCCTGACCCACATTCACACATCGCATCTCAAAAGCCTCGCAGTTTCCATGACAACACACTTCATGCTGCAGACAAAAGCCACCAAAAGCATGCGGTGAGGCATCCAAGAGATAGAACCCCCCCCCCCCCCCCCCAATCTGAGCCTGAAAAGAGCCTGAATCAGCGCTTTTCAGGCTAGTGTTTTATTCATTTTCACAGAAAACATCTTCCATCAGAACCAGAACCAGGAAGAAACCATCAGAACCATCTTTGTGCACTGGCTGGGGCCAAAGAGGACAGGAAAGAGGGGCCAACCAGCACCATGACACCATACCATAGACACGTGCTAAGAAAGAGAAACACTATAATGACAACAATAATGTCACATGTACATGGAGAGGACAGAGAGCAGAGGGAGGAGAGGTGCATCATGGGAGCTCCCATGGTAGGAACAAAATGATGGAGCAGTTATGTTATCACTCTAAGACAGGATGCTCCTCATTTTGGAAACATTACGAAGGGAAAGAAGGCAGCAATCTGTTTGACATGGGAGTCAGAGAGCAGGTTTAAAGCAAGTCAGAAATAACTCATTAAAGTGACAACAACTTCCCTTTGCGTGTGACTTTAGAAGCAGCCGTTAAATGCTTTGACCAACAGTTTTATCTGGCTGTTATTTTGAGTTGTGGTGTCTTTTAGCAGGACATTTTCATCCCTGTGTTCAGCTGCAGACTTAATGAGTGAGGAAAACTCCTCTCTGAGCCACAGGACTTTCCTTTTTCCAAAGCAGCTCTGAACAAAACACTAAAAAAAAACAAACAGCCTGTGTTTCAAATGAGCGTCTCCACAGTAACCCCTGATGATTTCCAGTCAATGAAAGCAAAAGCAAAAGCTGGGCAACTCCATGGAATTTCCCAAATACAGGTTCAGTGGTGTCAGACACAAATCTCAGAGGAACACCTACGAAATAAATATCTTTAATAAAAGCAGAGAAAAGCAGATTGTACACATCTAAGAGTGAACACTGTGGACGCAGCAGTACCGCACAGACGTGACCAACATTTACACTTAGTCTGTTTTCCTTCAGCATCTGAAGAGTTTCAGTCACACTGCTGAAAAACTCCGCCACCGTGTCAATTCAGACTGGATCCTCAGAACTCCTTTGGGGATTTTGGCCTCAATTCGGGCCTAAAAGTCGCCAGTGGGGAGGGTTTTGGTCTGCTGTATTGTCTTAGTTTTAGACAGATTGTGATGGGCGTTTGTTACAAATGGGGCACAATCACATTTAGTGATTGTGAGTAGTGATTGTGAGACATAATGAGGTAGAAGTCAAAGTCTAGGAGCTTTCAGCCATATCTTACAGCATGTTGGCTGAGTCTTTCAGAGAGCTGCCCCACCGTGGAAGCTACATGTTGGGCCACTTGCATCCATACATTCAGCTTTGAGGCCACATGATGACGGTTAGAAGCGCAGAAGGGGCCAAACTCTGGACAAATGTTGGGGGCAGTAGTCGTAGACCCAGACAGGGTCCATTGGCTGCCATATGGAGGCACGCTATTGGAAGAAAGAGCACCGCTCCGTGCGGGTGTTTTAGCTGCTTCTTCCAGAGGATGACGCTGGTTGAGGGCGAGTCTGTTAGCTGGCGGTCGGCGGGGCAGACTGCGGCAGCTGGTAAAAACCTTTCTTCCTGGATCTCCTCAAGTAGTCCAGGAGCAGCGCTGACGCCGCCAGCCCGGCGGCCACACTGAGAACGGGGACGAGGACTGCGCCGAGGCCGGGAGGACGTCCGGAAGTGCTTTCTGCAAACAGACGGCAAGCAAAAGAGCCGCGGGTTAACCCCCGACCAAAAGGGATTACAGAGAGAGACGGTTAACTGCTCCGACAAACCTCTGACGCTGATGCTGAAGACTTTGATCTGGTATCCCAGGTCATTGGTCACGTTGACCTGATACAGCCCCGAGTCTCTGGTGGTGACGTTGACCAGCAGGAAAGTGCCATTGGTGGAGAAAAGCTCTGTCCCGTTGCTCAGTTTCTTCAGAATCACGGCTGATGGCGGGAAGCTGATGGTTTGGCAGCAAACGGTGACATTTTGTCCCTCCTGGACCACCTCGGAGGGCAGGATGATGACTGTGGTGTTTCTGGGAGGAGCTGGACAGAAAGGATCAGTCAGATATCACAGGTAGATGTAATTAGCAGGTGCTAGGATGTATTTAGCGTGCGTATTTAGCCGGTGTAGGGAGTGGGCATGAGGGCATACTCAGTGGGTGTCATTAACAGGTGGTTGGGCGTGTGTAGCAGGATCATTTAACAGGTTTAACTGCTTGTCTAGCGTGTGTTGGGGTGTATTTAGGCCAGGGGTGTCAAACTCCAGTCCTTGAGGGCTGCTCTCCTGCAGCTTTTTTACTTTTTCCCACCTGATCCGGATTAAACTGGATCTCCTCTAGACATTGTTAAACTTTTAAGGGGCCAGCTAGCGGCACATTGATGTGAATCAGATGTGTTGAAACAGGCAAACCTGAGGGCAGAGGTATCTGACAAAGACAATCCTCCTGATGAAGAATCTCATGGTTAAGGAAACAGTTTAGTTCCATATGCTGATGGATTCAGTGGCTCGGCCCTGTTCTGCCTTCAGTTTCACTGAACAGAGAAAAAGCTGCAGTTCCCTGTTCTGTCACTCACGGCCTTTCCAACAGGTTGGGATTCTCTCTGATGCATCCCGGCCACTCGGGGGAGAAGAATGCGTGGAGGTGTAAGTGATGACTAACTTCAACACTCGGAGGAGGTTGAGAATAACCCCCTGCGATAACAGAGCAGCAGTGTGGAGTAAATCTGCTCTGACCGCTGATTCCCGGTGCTTTCAACTGCTGAGTATTGGATAAAGTACAGCTGTGAGAACGTCTGTAAAAACGGAGTTTTTGTCATTTTAAATGGCTTTAAATGATGGCTGTGAACATCCGCCTCTATAAATCAGCTCAGCTGAACTTGGTGACCTTTTGCTTTGATCTCAAACCGACACATCATCACCTGATAGGGGTGAAGCTATTGGGAGGGGTTCCACAATGCTCCCACTGGGCTTATTTTAGACTAAAAAGAAACTTTCAGGAGAACAGATATCTCTGGAAATCACAACATTTTCAGTAACTTTACGTCTGAGTGGGGTGTAAAATGTGTGACATGTCGTTTCAGGAGGCTTCTTTAGTTCTAAATGAGCCATATGGAGCTTAATCGGTGAAGGAAGCCCAGGTCTGCTGTAATAAGGAGGAGACTTTCCGTTTCATTGTTCAACAGGTAGAAAAATGTGCAGGATGTCTGATATCACAGCATGTCGTTCTGCTTTATGCATTTAAGGGTGTGAGCTAATTTGCTTCACTCTTCGGAGAAAGAGCATTAAAAATTCTTGCCGTTAATATAATTAAGTTCATTAACAGGGGCACTGGGGGACCCTCGTTTGGAAACAAAGAGGAAGCTGCAATCAGCCCCTGACAAGAAGCTGAAAGCGAAAGAGTCTGAGTCATGACTCATGAGTAAAGAGTTTATTTCTGTCCAAACATCATGTGAAGGAGTAAGAGGTCAGCCTCTGATAACAGCTGCTGGAGCCGAGGAAAAATAACCATGAACCAGAAGGCAGAGGGAAAAAGGAGGTCTGGACGAACATTAAAGCAAATGGAAGTCTTTGAACATTTTCAAAGCAAAGAGGAAAGCTTGATTTTAGGGCTGTGAATGATCTGATGTGTTTCTTTTCGAGTATTTTAGCCTCCTCCTTTTGAATCACAGACTCACCTTTGACAGTGATGGAGCTGGAGACAGACTGGTTGCCATACTGGTTGGAAGCCTCACACTTGTAGAGGGCGGAGTCTTCCAGCAGGGTGGAGGAGATGCTGAAGGTTAATGAGCTGGAGGCAACGCTGCTCCTCTTAAGCTCCGTCCCATTTCTCTTCAGCAACAGCGTGGGAGGAGGAGCGCCATCTGAGCGGCAGGTAAGAGTTACCTGCTGCCCCTCAACCACCTCCTCACCAGAGCTCATGGACAGGGCGGTCAGCCGTGGAGGATCTGAGCCACAAACCAAGAAGAGGATTAACAAAACCCGAATCTGCGATGAATAAAACTAATTTGAAATTGAGCCAGACCTGATTTAATCTTGAATTACCAAAGCCCGAATCACAGATTTGTCCAATTTAAAACTGATTTTAGATCTTAAAATGAATAAATGAAACCAACATCCCACACAAGCTGTTCTCAAATCTGTGTGTAGATTAAATATTAATTTTGGACTTTGTTAAACCTAAAAAAATCTTAAATCAACAAAGCCTGAACCAAGTCTGGAAAGTTTAAAAGATGAACCTGAGTTGAATAAATCTGTAATCTTAGTAATTTAAAACCAAAATGTAATGCCCTGTTATTTCTGTTTAAAAACCCACTCACAGTGGACCTGCAGAGGGATGCTGGTTCTTCTGGACCTCCAAATGTCCCCGCCCTCCGTCAGCAGCTCCACTTGGCACGTCAAGACCTGCTGATCCTCTCTGACCCGGTGTTTCAGAACAGAAGAGATGTTTTGTAAAGAGCCGGAGAATCGGAATGACTCCGACATCAACGTTGCGTTCCCCGACAGCCAGCGGACCCTCAGCTGATTGGCCGAGAAGACGCTGCTGATGTCGCAGTGAAAATCAGCCTCCTGGTCAAGCAGAACCGGGCCCGGATCCTCCAGAACAGGATCAGACGGAAACGCTGGAGAAACAACAAACGGCACAAGATCTTAAAGACAATTTCAGCTCATTTTGGCCTGAAATGTGAAATCACAAGCACTTTATATTTGTACATCAACAGACACAAATTTAGATCCTTTAATTATTGACCATAGATCTGAACATTTTCAGGACTAAATTACAGGAGAATTCATAGTAAACCTCCACAAGTAGATGGCCAGTTTCCCATTAGCCTCAAATCTAATTGTTAAATTTGAGCTTGTCCCACAGGTTTAAATAACCCAAAAACCTATAAAATTGTTTACAGACAGATAGTTAGGTAATTCTATAGTCCATAAGATTATGAAACTAGGAACCACAATAGTGACTTAATGAGGACCTCCTTGTAAAACTATTAAAAAAAATCTCTCAAACATCAAAACAACCATTTAATTTAATCAAAGACATCAAAAACATCTCCATTACTCAGAATCAAAAATACCATCACATCCTATAAATATATAATATATAACCTTACAGAACCTCTGGATCAACTCCCAAAGCTCTAAATATCTTCAAAAACAAATCTTTAAAAACTTGTTAAGGTCATTCCAAGTTCCATGATAAGCTGACATAAGGAACACAATAGTGAAATAGGATGCCCTACAACCTCAGCAAGGAGCTCTAAAACCTCCTCATGAAGACATATAGACACCATGAGGTCTTTTATGGAGCCTTTCCCATCCCAAAAGACCCCAGAAAAACCTTTAGGGAATCTGTGGAACCCTCAGACCACTAAAATATCTCAAGTGCCCTCTTCAACATCTACAATGACCTGTAACCCCTTCATGAAGACTTCTAAAACCTCCTTAAGGAAGCTTTAGATATACCCCAAGAGCTTTTAAAACCCTAAGAATTCTTACTCATCTTGTGGGTCTGTAAATGATTTTAACACTCTGTTTTCAGTTTCCTTCTTTTTAGCTGCAAATATCCTCGTTTGCACTTTTAGAAACTTCTTTGCTGCATTTAGAGGAGGTTCTTTATTCTGGTTTGATAAAAACCAGCAGCTTTCCTGTGGATAATGACAATGCTGAGGCAAACATTCAGGATCTGTAGGCTCTTTTGCCTCAGTGCCAGACAGATTGAACCCTAAACTTCAGGACATGTGAGCATTTTTTTAATAAAACAAGCTTATTTAGGCCCTCACATGTCTCCTGTGACTGAGAAATAAATGGTTGGAGTTAAACTTTTCTCAGGAAACTAAAGATTTAAGGAGGGTGTTTTTAATAATGTTCTGATCGGTTGAGAGGAGTTTCGGGTCTCTGTATTTATAACATCTGACAAAAAGGGATCGTATGTTGGAGGACTTTGGAGCATGGAGCCAAAGTTCATGTTTAAAGAGGGTCATGTTGTGTTTTAGCCTCAAACTGCCTGATGACACCGTTTCATGCGAGGATGGCTGTCAGAAACGCTGACTCCCCTACGCCTGTCTGCCTCTGAGTGGGAGGCTTCACAGTGTTTTAATAACCGGTCATGGGGGTGAATATGTGTGCGTGGGTGTTGGGTTTTTGGCTCATTCCTTCATTGTTGTCATTTCCTGACATCTCAGATTAAAAGTATTAGGCGGAATTACCCTAACATTCTTGTTCCAGACAACAAATCTTAAGCTTTGTGAAAGTGCTCATAAACAAGCGTTTGTTTTGAGCTTCTCTGAAACAGCTGGTTTGTGCAGTGTTAAGGAGAGTTCTGCATTATTTTCGGCTCCTGGGAGTATTTTTGGCTGCATACCACCAACTGCTTGGCATTGTTGTTTTAAAAGTCAACAGTGTTCTTTTGCTGCTTGGAAAAAAGGAAGTCTGAGCTCATTCACAGAGTTATGGGAGAGGAATGTCTTCTCTGAAACAGCAGTGTAAGAAACGCCAACCTTTGGCTTCGGAGTGTGCCAGCATAACTGAACGCGTCCAAACAAAACCAGCCGACGCACCAGTGTAAAATTAGGTTGATTCATGACCGGACTTCTTAAGAAGCCCGGTGGCTGATTTATGGGAATATTCTCTTCTCTATTAAATGCCTGACTCTTCCTGAGCTACTGGAATCTCAGAGGGAGAGAGAGAGAGAGAGAGAGATGGGCTGAATGATAACGTGAATGATTCATTTACCAGAAAAAACCCACTCCTTTTTGACACCTACTTCTGCTCCTTTTACAGCTCCGTTTCGACCAATTCAAACGTGTAAAGTCACACAAATAATAAAAAGGAAGTGAGGTTTTCAGACTTGCAGCACTTTTCACACCTATTTCCTATTTTCACACCTCTTTTTGTAACATTTCTACCGTTTAAAGTCACATGAACAAGAAAGAAAGGGCGATTTGCTCTGCGGGAGTCATCAGAGGTGCCTGTCAGACTCACAGTAGACGTGGACGTGGATCTCTCTGGTCCTGATGACGGCGTCACACTCGGCCTCACAGCTGTAGGTTCCCTGGTGCTGGAGGTCCAGGTCCTGCAGGTGGAGCAGCGAGCGGCCGTCTGGCTGCTGCGTCCGCTGGAGGACCGTCCCGTTGCGGTCCGTCCTCCTCCAGCTGAGCATCGGGGGGTGCAGGCATCCGGACGCCCTGCAGGTCAGAGTCAGAGCCGAGCCCCGTTCGGCCGACAGCTGAGGACTCGCCTCCACCTGCAGAGGGTGAGCTGGAGGGACACGTTCACACCCGTCACAAACCGAGCCGACCGACCTGGTTCTGTCCTTCTGGACCACCTGTGGTTCTGCCCTCAGGGTAAATATCTGCTCTTTGACATAGGGCTTATCATCTGAATTATATCATCTTTTTTAAGCCAAAGAAACAGCTGGAATGAAAACCTTGCTCCTTGTTTCCCTCCATTTTTCTTTCAATTTGTGTCATTCTTTTTTTTTCAGTCTTTTTTCTCTTTTTTCTCACCATTTCTTCCCGTCTTTTTGACATTTCTATTCATCTTTATTCCTGTTTGCTTCTTCCTTTCTGCTTCTTTCTGTTCCTTTCCATGTGTCTGTCTTTTCTTTGTCTACAGGTTGCTTTCTCTCATTTCTTTTTTCTTTGTTTCTATGTTTTTGTATTTTTTATCTTTTTTTCTTAGATGCAATTGTTTCTTTCTGTTTCTTTCCAGGTTTCTGTCATTTTTCTATTTTTTTAATCTTATTTCTCTACGTTTACATTTCTTTATTCATTTGTATTTATATACACTATATTGCCAAAAGTATTTGCTCACCTGCCTTGACTCACATATGAGCTTAAGTGACATCCCGTTCCTAATCCATAGGGTTCAATATGACGTCGGTCCACCCTTTGCAGCTAGAACAGCTTCAACTCTTCTGGGAAGGCTGTCCACAAGGTTTAGGAGTGTGTTTATGGGAATTTTTGACCATTCTTCCAGAAGCGCATTTGTGAGGTCGCACACTGATGTTGGACGAGAAGGCCTGGCTCTCAGTCTCCGCTCTAATTCATCCCAAAGGTGTTCTATCGGGTTGAGGTCAGGACTCTGTGCAGGCCAGTCAAGTTCATCCACACCAGACTCTGTCATCCATGTCTTTATGGACCTTGCTTTGTGCACTGGTGCACAGTCATGTTGGAAGAGGAAGGGGCCAGCTCCAAACTGTTCCCACAAAGTTGGGAGCATGGAATTGTCCAAAATGTCTTGGTATGCTGAAGCATTCAGAGTTCCTTTCACTGGAACTAAGGGGCCAAGCCCAGCTCCTGAAAAACAACCCCACACCATAATCCCCCCTCCACCAAACTTTACACTTGGCACAATGCAGTCAGACAAGTACCGTTCTCCTGGCAACCGCCAAACCCAGACCCGTCCATCAGATTGCCAGATGGAGAAGCGCGATTCGTCACTCCAGAGAACGCGTCTCCACTGCTCTAGAGTCCAGTGGCGGCGTGCTTTACACCACCGCATCCGACGCTTTGCATTGCACTTGGTGATGTATGGCTTGGATGCAGCTGCTCGACCATGGAAACCCATTCCATGAAGCTCTCTGCGCACTGTTCTTGAGCTAATCTGAAGGCCACATGAAGTTTGGAGGTCTGTAGTGATTGACTCTGCAGAAAGTTGGCGACCTCTTCGCACTATGCGCGTCAGCATCCGCTGACCCCGCTCCGTCAGTTTACGTGGCCTACCACTTCGTGGCTGAGTTGCTGTCGTTCCCAAACACTTCCATTTTCTTATAATACAGCTGACAGTTGACTGTGGAATATTTAGGAGCGAGGAAATTTCACGACTGGATTTGTTGCACAGGTGGCATCCTATCACAGTTCCACGCTGGAATTCACTGAGCTCCTGAGAGCGACCCATTCTTTCACAAATGTTTGTAAAAACAGTCTGCATGCCTAGGTGCTTGAATTTATACACCTGTGGCCATGGAAGTGATTGGAACACCTGATTCCGATAATTTGGATGGGTGAGCAAATACTTTTGGCAATATAGTGTATATATATATAGAGGAAATCATATTTAAAGGACTTCCCACACTGGACTGGATAATATAATATATAACATTATGATAATAATCAGCCAATAAAAACTAAAACAAGGGTTAACAAATATCTTTAAGAAAACCTCCAATGTACCTCTGACTGTGACGGAGACGAACGTCTGCTGGGAGTCGTAGTTGTTGGAGGCTTCACAGCTATAGAGGGCGGTGTCTTCAAGCACCGTGGAGGGAATGCTGATGGTCAGCGAAGGGGAGGTGGGCTCACTCTTAGCTAGCACCTCTCCCTCCTTCTTTATCACCAATGTGGGGATCGGAGAACCTTCAGAGTGGCACGTAAAGGTCACTCGCTGACCCTCCACCACCTCCCTACCTGGACTCACCGAGAGGGTGGTGTTGGTGGGTGGAGCTGTGGATGGGAAAGGTGTGTCAGAGGTTCTCAAAGTTGGACATCATGGACATAAAATGAGCCGGTTAGGAGAAAAATGGAGCAAACAACAGAAAATACATTTGGAAATAGGAGACCATGCAAGCCCCAACAGGAGATACATGTGGAAATAAGTGATAGTATGGAAGCCCCAAAGGGACAAGAAGAAGATATTATGGAAACACTACAGAACAGAACGGAAAACCAAAGGGAACAATCAGGGCACAAAAGTCAAATTGATCAAATAAATCAGCAGAAATAGAGGGAATCTAACCGTGAACAGTGACGTTCACAGCGGCGCTGACGTTTCCTTCGCTGTTTTGGGCCCAACACTCGTACCCGCCAGCATCAGAAAGTTCCACCGCCGGGAAAACGAGCTGACCACCACGACCTCGCCGCACAGAGCGGCCGTCCGCCGTCCGGAAGGCCCAGCTGACGCTCGGCTCAGGGTTTCCCTCGGCAGAACAGCTGAGAGTGTGCGGAGAGCCGGCCATGGTCATCATGGAGCCGGAGACCGCCGTGAAAACGGGAGCGTCTGCAGGGAGGAGTGGGCAGAGTCCAGATTTGGATCAGTCAGGACAGTTGGTCCAACCAGGACTAACAGGACTCAGTTAAACCAGGATTGGGTTCATAATCAAGACTAGGAACCTGATAACCAGGACTGTGATCCCTTCGAGTTGGATCCAGACAAGAAAAAGTTGTATTCTAACTGCCGAGTCTGGACCCGTATCCTGTATGTCAGGACACTGATGCAGACCCACTGTCTGGATCTGGATCTCTATGTCTGAATCCCGGCCCCATTGGCCAGGACTCGGGCCACTGGGCTCAGATTCTGCCACCAGTACTTAAACTAATCCCGGAGGAGGTGGACCTGAGCAACCTGACTCAGAATGGGAGGTCTGACTTACAGAGGACGTTTAGGGTCAGGCCGGACTCTTTGGTCCGGTCTTCAGCCGGCAGGTCCTGCAGATCCAGCACGGCCCGGCAGGTGATCCTCCCTCCTGAGTCCTGCTTCTGAGGCGTGAACCTGTACTCTGACCGGACTGCTGTGGACCCCGGATCTCCAGTGGTCATCAGCAGGACGGCGTCCCCCCTCAGCCAGGTGAGGGTCAGGTGCTCGGCGGGGTACACTTTATCAACCTGGCAGGCCAGGGTGGAGTCCACCCCCAATCTCAGCTCCTCCTGAAAAGTGATCTTGGGGGCTGATGGGAAGTCTGAAACCAGAGGGCGGACAGGTGAGGATTTGGGAGATTTTGGACTCGGGTAGTTGACGAGGAAGGGAGTTAAAAGCTGCCGACTCACTGTAAACCCGCACGTTGGTTTTGACCTGCCGCCGCTGCTGGCCGCAGCCCACCTTGCAGAGCAGCGCTCCCTCGTGCTCCGTCGTCACGGAGCTGATGGTCAGCACCGAGTGGGTGCGGTTGTTGCTGACGGAGGCGGTGAGGGGACGGTCCTCCATGGGCGACCAGGACACGCTGGCCACTGCGGGACAGTCCTGAACCCGGCAGACCAGCTGCCGACGATCCCCCAGCCTGAACAGAGGCCTAACGGGCAAGATGTCCACCCGCAGACCCCTAACGCACCAGGAGGACGTCAGCACCACAGCTGTGGAGAAAAAACAAGAAAAACAAGCTCACCCTTCCACTGCCACCAGATCGCACACAAAAAAAGGGGCAAAAAGTTTCATTTCTGACTAACTTAAGCAGGAAATGTGTGAAACCATCTCATCTCTGTCCTCTAAGAAGGGGTCTGTGTATTTTTAGAGAAAACTGACACCAGTATTGGTGTCAGATATGATTTAAGAAGCCACTTCTGCTCACACGGTCAGATAGTAAAACAACAACAAAATAGGCTCGTGACTCTTCCTCAAAACACTTTTACTTCTGGGAAACAAGTAAAAGCCACAAAACCTCCACTTGGAGGTTTTTAGTAAATTTACAGAAGCAAAACAATAAAAAAAAAAAGAAAGTGGAACAGAAAAATCAGAGCATAAACATTCAAACAAAGAGTCAAAGTAAACAGATGTTACCATGATCATGTTTTTTTTACCTAAATCTTTAAGGCCATCTTAAACTTGTGACACTTTCCAACAATGGAAAGGCAAAGAAGAGGACATTTCTCGGCATTTCAGAGCTTTTCCTGCTCAAACACAGCTGATTCTAATGATTGAGTCCACTCTGGAGGGCTGACCATTCAGATCAGATGTGTTTGTTTAGGCAGTCGTCTAAAACACACAGAGGAATGTCCTCAGGACCAGGGCTGAAAAGCATTGCATTCATTCTATTCACCAGCTGATCATTTGGCTGGTTTGTTATACTCCTTAAACACCTTCTGAGACAAAAGTTTTATCCTTTGGTGAAAAAAAGCGTTTAACTGAAGAAAAAAAACCCTCAGAAATTCAAAGATGAATCGATTTGTCAATGTTTTCCTTTAAATGATGATTAACGTGATGTTTTTAGTACACTGATTAAACAATTAATCAGTTCAACATGAGCTAAAAGGATAAAGGAGAAATGGGGAGATAAGAAACGTGTTTCTCAACCTCTGGCTTGTCACCCTTGATGAAGTCACATGATGATTACAGCCTGTGAAAATGTGACAGACATGGCTTTTCTTTCTCTTTTTGGTCACATGTGGATCTGTTCTCCTTCCCTGTGATTATTCATTTATTCAATCACAAAAACAAGCACAATCTGCTGTCATTTAAAAAATGACCCTCTGATGCCCAGAATGTCAAATACAGGCTGAATTAAGGTGTAATATGCTACATAAAGCCTCAACACAGCGGTACATGAATGAAACCATGAGCTGGACCTTACCTGTGATGAGCCGGAGAAAGAAGCTTGGCAGATCCATCCTTGGAGGGGGGTTAAACCGACTGGTGAACGGATGGATGGATGAATGAGTGGGAAGCAGAGCAGCTCCTTTGTGTCGGGGCTTCAGAGTCTTAGGCAGAAAATGTGCACGACACATGAAACGCAGACATAAAACCCTCTGAAGACACAAACACCAGCCTTTTATGTATGAATCCCCAGACCACAGCGCCCCCGGCTGGTCATCCGAACGCCTGGGTCATCATTTCCCTCCTTTTATTCTCCAGCTTTTCCTTTCTTTTCTCCTTCCAGCTGATCCGAGGCGTCCCTCCCCCCCTTCTGGTGAAAGCCTGAGAGGTCTCATGAATATAAAGCTGATGAGAGGGGTGTTTATTTCACAGAGGAATAATCAAAAACAGGAAATATGACAATTTCTTAAGTAAATCTACATATCTAATTCTTCATTCATGACAAAATGAATTAAACAATCTTCACAGCCTAAAAGTAGTCTTGAAAAGAGCATTCAAAATAGATTTGCATTCACAACAATCATGACATACAAAAAAAAAGAAGAAAATGAAAATGAAACTTCACTTTTTAGGACCCTTTTCCAGCAGAACATTCCTTTGTTTGAAGTTTAGTTGGTGATGTTTGACCTAGGAAAATATAATAATGCTCTTTATTTTAATAACACGCTCTAATAACTATTCATGGGCTGTTCCATTGTGACCTGGTAGGGGACACAGCTTGTTCCACATACAATAACATGAAGCCCTTATTTTATTGAATTCAGCTTAATATTTATAGGTTATTCATACTTTATTTATTCCATGAAGGGAGATGATATCGCTGAAGTTTAAGGTATGACTAAAAATATTGTCTTATTGATAATAAAATAAATCATGACTCAATGGAAAAACATGCGTCCGTCTCATATTGGTGCTGTGGACTAATCAGGGATCTCATATTTCCCAGGATGCCGTGTGCCAGAAATTCCTCCTTTTTTCAGAAATTTGTTCCTGCTATGCAACGTCCAGGAACTCAGAAACATCAGAAATCACTTAAAACACTTCTGAAGAAACACTAAATTATCATTAGAGCAAGTTGAGACTTTGAGATGCCGAAGAGTGAGAGGAGCGTTCATCAAAAAAGAAAGACCAGGGCAGGAAAGAAAGTATCAAATGAAAGAGAAAGAAAGTAAAATGAGATGAAGTGAAGGAAAGACAGGATGAAAGATGAAGAAAGACGTAAAAGTCAGATTCATTTAACTGTGTTCAGGGTTTCTTTTTAACAGCACAGATGTGAAACATTTTAATTCTTTCTGTTTCACATGTTGAGATTCTCCCTATTTAGTGATGTTTTTTTTGGTTAAAAACAGAAAAAAGCAAAGACAAATTTTAGAAGAACTGGTTTATTTTCTGTTATTGCTCAGAAAGAAACTCTGCCGTCAGTCAGAGGAAATAAAACGGACATTATTTTCTCATTTTCCCTTAAAACATGACCAAAAACATTCATATCAGGAAAAAGTGAACATCACCATAAGAACCTTCAAACACAAGCAGCTGGAGAACATTTAAGGCACTTTTTAGCCTTTTCTCTCTTTAAAAAAACCCAAACAGAATCTGTGAAGTTTGAGTGACTTTTGAGCTTTAAATAAAAAGAACAGACCAAACGTGCTGACGTGTCATGAAAGGTGCGAGACTCCAAAATTAAACTACTTCCTTCAGTTTGAGGAGGGACAATTTTCGCCTGCAACCACACAGTGATGTCACCGCTGAAAGTTCCACTTAACATAAACTATCAGGTTTCTTTTTCATAAAAGAGGTTACTTCAGGGCGGTATCTGTTCTGGAAACATACGGGATTTCACTAAATTCATTTCACTAAAAAACACTTAAATCTCATAGAAGATTTGAATAAATACAGACAGGAAAAGTAGATAAATATAAACACATTAAGCAGCCTGTTCACTATAAAAACTCACATGTTTGGTTTTTAGGTCACTATATTGAACATAAAGATCTTTTTTACTCCTCAACTTTGTTACAAACAGTTGTGAAGGAATGGGCTGAGTTTAAGGGTAGAAAACTGATCTGAGGTCATAACTCAGGGAAAAGTCCCTCATGATTACATAATCATCAGTTTCTGATATATTTACTATTATGCTGCCTTTGATGGCAGCAGGGCACTCAATATTTTTCTGTCTCTCTCTTTAAAAACTTACAAAAAGATATGCAGTTTCATTGTTGTTAATTTCGGAAAAATATCCCAAGAATTTACAGCTCCTGTGGCAAAAAGAATTACTGTTTTTGAAAGCTCCGTTAACTCCAGTGGTTTGTTTTTGATTCAGACGCTGGAGACATTCCTGGAGTGTAGGTGGAGTTACCGAGGTAAAAAAATAGCATATTCTCTACTGTTCATCTGTTATTGTGAGAACGTCTCTGCAACACAAATACAGGCCACGTGTGACAGTTACATGAGCAGATTCCCTTTAAAGATCTTTCAGTCAAACATTTTAAAAAACAAAAACACCTGATCGGGATGTATCCTTCATATCTGGATTCCTCAGAGAAACAGAATTTAAAAGCCTCCTGTCCAAATCTGCTGGTGATCTGGATGGTTAAACTTACAGCTGACCGGGTCCTAATGCTAATTTTTTGTTGGTTTTCTCCATGTGTGCTGGAGCCCGCGCTTATTAGAGGTGGGTGGAGCTTATGTGGCATCAAAGTTTTAGTAAAAAATGATCATCAGGTTCTATAATCATGTTGAATCTATGGTACTGCTCAGGAGGCACAAGCTGCACAAATCTAAGCTTCTTTAAGGCCAAGCGGCAGTCCACACGAGCTTTGATCCCCTGAGTTTCTGATTTTGGGTCCCTTCTTCTACTACTATCATATATTGCCGTAGGATAACAAGAAAACAAGAAAACCTGCTGGTGAGCTGATCAGCCAGGATGGAAATACTGCAACCGATGCTTCATTTTATCAAAAACAAAAAACAAAACCTCTTCATCATGGTTAAAATGAAAAAATAGGTCCTCTTCTGTCACAAGAAATATAAAATCTATGTCTCGTGTAAATATATATCTTCAGCCAAACACGCGTGTAGATTACAATGATATTTACATTCAGCTCATTTACATACAGTATGAACAGGGAGGAAGTTCAGTCCGGATGCTTCCCTTTAGCTTCCAGCGTCCGACCCCAGAGGATTCTGGGAGATGAGAAGGGCCCTGCATTCTCAGGTCAGACCTGTGGTCTTAGTACTGGATGTACTCAGACTGAAGAGACTGAAACACAAAACATGGACATCATCTGAGTCAAACTCCCTGGGTTTAGATAATTTAAAAAAGGAAGTTCGGAATAAGACGTCTTTGTTTAATTTCAAACTTTGGGTCTTTTTCTGTCTTTGTTCTTATTTTCAGCCGTTTTGTGGCTTTTATGGGCGAAATATCCTCATCAGGCATCTCTGAATGGATTCTAAGGTCCATTAACTGTCAGAAAAGGCTCAATTGTTATATAAACCTTTCAAAAGTTCCCACAGTGGGTAAGAAACCTTAGAAACTATGAAAAATATGTGGAAATGATCTCTGCAAAGACTAGTGCTGTTGGAGTGAAGCAGAGCAAAGTTTCTGCACAGTTAGAGCTCTCTGTTTGGCTCTTTGACACATTATGAAGATTTCTGAGCCGATAAATGCACAAATATTTGCCTTCATCTAAATACCTTCAAATATAAATCAGATTCCTCAATGATTTTCCAAAGAACTGCCCATCATATATTTCTCCCCCCATTTGAATGTCTCATAATCCTTTCACATGAGACGGTATGCCCTGCTTTCATTGCCCCCTATGCACAATAATGATTTTCCACCAGAGAGCTTATTGTCAGCTTGTTGATAACTGTAACATTGTGTCTACTTTGTAAGTCGCTTTGGATAAAAGCGTCTGCTAAAAGCATAAACATAAAAATGACAATAGAATCGTGCTAACATGGACTGTTGGCATCAAAACCACGAATCAGAAGGCAGAGCCAAAGACACACCATGACAGCCAGTGGCCTTGGTCCAATCAGATCTCTGTAAGGAGCTGTAACCGAGCAGCAAATACTGATTATTAAATGCAAATTAGTCTCAGAGCTTTTGGGGGGAGGGGGAGGCTGTTCCCTAAATGTGATTTGATTTGGTTTCTATCAGCTTTGGAAGCAGGACAGCAAAGGTAAGGCAGGATTTATGAGGATGTTTGTGGAACATAAAGCAGGACTCTGGGTTCCTCGGCTCAGCAGCAGCTTCGGGTTAGTGTCAGTTAGTAACTTTAAGACCATCAGATGTGCTCATTTTCACCTCCAGAAGATTTAACAGCTTGAAGAAGACAGAAATCTTTAAACATATTTAAATTCTGATGCTTTTCAAATAAAAGACCCATAAGACGGTAAGAAAAAGTATTCCTGAATGTTGCCTTTATGATCTATTTTCTTTAAGAATAGAGATCAAAAAGAGGCAGCTTCAGGAGTCTTTGTGGTACTATCTGGGGAATCAGGATGAAAAAGGCCCAGGTGTTAGCCATTTTGGTTTGTTATGCAGAATTTAACTGTGTGGCAACTTAGTTATGACTGTCGTGAATGAGACCCAAGAAAAGATGGAAAGACTTAAAGGGGTCCAAAAGGCTGAGTTTTAACCCTTTAACCTCCAAGAGATGGCAAATATTCCGGATGTTCTTTTCTTTAATTTTGGGGTCAAATTTGAGCGCTTTTCAGTTTGAACTTCTAAAAAGTAAAACAAACAACAACATCTTTATTTCAGCTTGCGAGGTTAAGTCGTTAAAGGGAAGTTAAAGGGTTAAAAACGTAGTTTTCACTGGCTGGTAAAGAACCAATCAGTAAAGGGGCGGGGCTGAGCTGCTGCTGTGTCGGAGGACTTACAGGTATGGAGCGGCTCAGGTAGCGTCCTGAGGGGCCCTTCATGGCGCTGTAGCCCCCGTGGCCCCTATAGGCGCCAAAGTCCTGAGGCCCCGGTCGAATGAAGCCCTTCCCGCCGTACGGGCCGCTGTTGTTGTTGACTTCTAACGGCGGGCTCCGAGGCCCGTTACCATAGCCAGATGAAGAGGGCGGGGCCAGTGGTGAGGGGGAGGGGCTTACAGACACAGAGGAGGGTGGGAGGGAGGAGTACGGAGCATTCCCGTCATCCTCTATGTCGCCGTATAGATCGCTGAGGGAGCTGGCCAATCGTGAACTGAGAGCTGAGCTGAGGTCAGTGGGAGGTGGGGGGGGCGGGGTGTACATACAACACGTGTGAAACACAACACAAACACAATGAAAAACCTAATCACCATATAAAACAATAGATAAATAATTTTTCAAAAGATAAACTTAGATATAAATGATAAACAAAAACTAGGGGTAAAAGATAATTGAATAAAGATAATGGGGAAGTAAAAAATATTATACAAAAATAGACAGAAAAATAAATAAAACAAAAAAATTAGAACAATCATCAACTGCCACAAAAAAATTAATATCATAAAATAAGAAAAAAATATCTCTTCCTAACCCTCCACAAACAACCCTAACGTAAAAAAATAATCATCTCTGAGAGACTGATTTTAAGTCAATGGGACTCAGTTTAAACATTTTCTACTTCCAGCTGATGCAGAACCCAGAGTGTGTGCTGCTATCAGCTCCAAAACAGACCGACAGGTTTCAGAACAGGATGCGAGGGAGGAATGGTGTATGGGGGGTGGGTATCAGAGAATCAACTGACCTCCTGAGGTTTGCTGGGGTCGAGTTCCTGCCGATCCTCTTGGCTGCTGCAGAAGAGGATGATGGGAACTTGGAGGACTTGACGGGGGAAGTGGGGCCCTGCCGAGAGCCCAATGACAGCCTGAACACAGACACACAAGTCATTTTTTAGATTTGCTCATTATCGTCCAAGTCTGCCAGGAAAAAGAGGAGGAAGGTACCTGAAGGGCTGAGAGGCAGAGCGGGTGTGCATCTTCACCTCCTCCACCCTGAAACAAGACACACCCATCAGCCCACGCCCTCCTATCACCCAAGCATGCCCGATCAGCCTGGATCTCCAACTGAGCACCAGGAAGGAGCTTAACCTCTAAAATTCTGGTTCTGAGCTCACAAACTCACTTACTAACCGAAATATAATTACATGTTACTTTTGCAGCCATTTAATCCTTCAATAATTAGATCTTATTAAATTATGAGAAATCCCACAGGACTGCAATCTGTTCTGTAGAGAGCTTCTTTGACCTTTAAAGAGCAAAAACAGGTTTTCTATGGTTCTGGGGTTTTCTGGTTCTGGTCTCAGTACCTCAAGACTGTGGCGGTGGCTGGTCGGGGAGACCGTCGGCTCTTCAGGGCTCGGAGTTTGTCTCCCTGAGTCAAACCCGGCCCACTGTCGATCAGCTCACCCTGAAAGACGAAACAAACTTGTCATGACCTGACAGGCACAGAGCTTCTGAGTTAAAACAACAAAAGGGGACACCTTCTATGCATCATGAGCAAGCTTTTTCTTATAGGTGGATGAAATGACAAAAACACAAACAAATTGCCAAACAGCAATGTCATCAGTGATGTCATCACCTGCCATTTAGCCAACAGAATTCATCGAATACCTAAACTTTTTAATTTTAGGGTCACACAGAGTAAACACTCTTATGTGGCGTCTGACCTCCTGTAGCTGGTCCGAGCTCAGGGATCTGACAATACTGCTGCTGTGGGTGGAGTTTAGTGAGAGCTCGCCCATGCTGGTGATGAGGTGAGGAACCGCCTTCTCCTCCATTCTTGCTTTCTGGGTGCGCTGACCCTCACCCTGCACCCAGAGCGCCGACTGCTTCCTGTTAAACACACACTTTACATTCAAAATCCTGACATTGTTGGCGTCGTTTAGGTTCCCGCTTCTCAAGAACGAGTTTCGTTCCTGTTCCCGTTTATTTTTCAATGTTCAGTTAACAGTTCAAGTTTGCGATTCTGTCATGACTCTTTGACAAGAATCTTTTTCCTTTCCTAACAAGTTTCTAACAAGTTCGCTTTCAGTTTCACTTCAGCAATTTGAACTGTTTTAGGACATTTTCTTTCACACAAAAACAAAAAAAAGTTCATGTTAAAGTTAATGTGAGAAAAACTTTAATAAGCTGCTATAAATGTATGGACATTTACCAACATTGGAGACTGGTTATTTCATGTGTCCAATTCAAAGCATGTAAAAAGGGTGGGAGTATAAATCACATGAACAAAAATGTATGGAATTTAAATCAAAAGGGACTCACTCTTCTAGGAAGTTCTGCTGTGGACCAATCACAGAGCCTGGCCTGCAGATCCTGATCCAGGCGATGGCCTCACCCGCCGTGAAGCGGTAGTGCTTCATCAGGTAACAGCCAATCAGAGTGCCTGTTCTGCCCAGACCAGCTGACAGAGAGACAGAGTAGAATCACTGAGGGTTTCCGCTTGTCTGTTAGGGCCAGAAACACTGAGCAGAAGTGCAAATGAATGCCGTGACTCAGCAGTAATGAAGCTGTGGGGTTCACTGAAGGCCTGACACACATCTGTTTAAACCCAGATAAAAAACCTGCTGATCTCCAGATCCCTGTCCTTTAACCCGTTCAAACCCAGTACTAGTAGTGCTTATTTTTATTTTTCATACCCTTCCACACACAGAAACAATCACATTTTGTTAAAAATAAATAAAAATGGCAGTAGGCTCAAGAATTAGGATAAATATGTTTTTTGTTCCATTTCTCTCATGGTACTGTTTTGTTCTGAAATTCAATTATTTATCTGTATTTAAAATAAGCTTTAATTTAATTTTCTTGTGTCTGACATAATAAAAAAACATCAAAAGGTCCTCATAAGGTCTTAAAATAACAAATTCTCTTTTTACACTGTTTACTATTGGAACAAAAACTGAAAAAATACAGAAATTCCAAGGGTAACTTCTATGAAAGCAGGGGTTTGCTGCAAAGGAGGAAAGACATCAGCATTTTTGACTGCTGCCCATCAATCTGAAGGGTTATAAGGTCTAAAACTATCTGGAATCCATCATTATGCAGAAAAGTGAAAAAATGTAAGTTTCAGCTGGAAAAATTAAGTACAATGCCCCCTCTGAGCACAGTGTTAGAGAAGCTAAAAACACCCTCCAGGCTTAAAAAGTAGGAAACGTCTTCCTTTGCTGGACAAACCGAGAAACTACACTTCAGATGTCTGATGTCACATGATCGGTGGGCAGCGTCTCTAACCTTTGCAGTGCACGGCCACGGCACCATCGGTGCTCTCACAGATGTGGAGGAAGCGGCGTACGATGATGTCATTGGGAGTGCTGCCGTCCACAAAAAAAAGATCGTAGTGGTCGAAGCCGGCGTCAGTGAAGCGTTTAGCGTCATAGATCTTCTTGTTCAGGCGGATGATGGTGGTCACGTTGTGTTTCCTGAAGTAGGGGAAGTAGGCCTCTGGCGCGTGTAGGGGGTAACCTGCAGGGAGGAGGGGTCAAAGCAGCCGTTAAGCACATAAGCTTTAAGTTGTTTAAAATCTTTTCAGTGCCCCCTTGTTAAAAAGACTTAAGAGGTGATGCATCAAAATCACACACTTTAAAAATAAAAAAAATCAGGGATGTATTAGAGCACTGACACTGTTCTGACTCATTAAGTGGAATTTGAAATAACTGTTTATAGTTGTGCTCAATCATTAAGAGAAAGAAAATAGAAAATCTATGCAAGCCATTTGCAACTGGGTTTTAATATCTAATCTAATTCCCAGAGAATCCAAGAAAATGAAACACTCACCGTTCTCTATCTTAGTTTTAGGATGAGGTCCACTGAAGGCCAGGAACTTTCCAGGGACAATCCAGTTCAGGTCTCCGTTCTCCACTCGCTGACGAAGGAAAGAGATCACACTCGGGTCATTTGGACAAAGGAAAATGAAAGAGTTTAAAGTAATTAAATATTACCTCAGGAGTTCTTTAGCCCTTTGTTTAGATTTTTGGATTTTCATTCTTTTAATTTTCTCTTTTTGGTGAATTTATGTGTGTTTTGCCATTTTGGAATTCAATTTTTTTCCATAGCCTTTTATAAAAGGATAACTTCAGCTCTGAATTATCTTTACTGAAACGTTCTGATATTTTAGACTTAAATCAGAAAGTGTTCATTTACATTTATGCATATAGCAGCCACTTTCTTACAAAGTGACTTACAAAAAGAGGGTTTAACATTCAACAACAACACCAGTTACACATTTACCTTACCTTGAGCGCAATATGCTAGAAGACATAATTTTTAACAGAATAATTTAATCCTCATGGGGGCGCTACATGTTCAATTTCTTTTTACTCTATGAAATAATTCAGCTTCACAACCTTATTTCCTGCTACAGGATGGACATTTAAAAAATGTTTAATTTGATACATTTGTGTGTTTTTTTCAGTGAGCTTTCTCATCAAACACAACTGGCCTTTGGAAAGTTTTCATTGATCCCACTTCCTGATGCTCGGGATCTGGGTTTTACCTCGTAGTGTTCGTATTCGTCCACGTCAAATGCCTCAAAGTTGAAGAATCCATGCTGCAGAGCCTGAAAACACAATGAAAATGGATTAAATTAACAACACAAAAAAAAATCAATGTTTTCAGGAATTTTTATCACACTTATATTTTTTTACACAGAAAAGGAAAGTTAAATCCACATTTAAATTTGTTCTAGCCTCTATGTTTATCTGTTTTCTTGCATTTAAACAATAGAAACTTGTTTTTTGGACACATAATCTATTCAGACTGCGGTCAGGCTGCATGAAAAACACTTTTTCAGAAGGTGGCAGGAAAAGGTGGCAGGAAATGCATTTAGTAAAAATGTAATTATTGTTTTGGCTCTCTAAATGGTTCTGTTTGATTATTTCAGTTTTTATTTCATATTTTCTTATTTAAGGACAGTCAACCCCTAATTGTTAAACCAAGGAACAAATGTTTTTTAACATAATACTTTCATCCTCATGGGGGCGCTACATGTTCAATGTCTTTTTACTCTGTGACATCATTCAGCTTCACAACCTGATTTCCTGCTACAGGATGGACATTTAAGAACTTTGAGTTCAATCTTTTTTGCAAATTTACTTTTTATCTTATATTATTCTAAAGTGACAATTCTCTTCCTGAATTAAAAGGTTTGGCTACAGATGAAATAGTAAACAAAGTCACTCTTTTAGCTGCTCCATTTGAGGCAGGAGGCATCAGAAATTGTTTCGGCTAATTTAAGCACTCTGATGTGTATAAAAAATTCCATATAAACGCACTCAGAAACCACCGGTTCAACTTAGCTGTGATCAGGATTAGTGCACAGACAGGGCTGCTGGCCCCTGATTGGCTGCCCTCTTTAATACAACAGCTCCTTGTCCGGCTCAACAGGCAGAGCCGTTACGTAACAGGAGTCTGTCAACACAACTGGAGACTTCAAACTAATAATGAAACTCTGTCAGGGACACAAAGATGCCCCTGCAGAGGAAATATCACTGGTAAATATTTAGCTTTACAGCGAAACCCGACAAAACAAAAGAAAGATCAGCGCTTAAAGTTTAAATTACCCTTCATCTGCCTAATGCAGAAGACGTTGAAATAATGAAGGATTTGGAGTTTTTTAAAGCCAGTTTGAAGAAATATGAGCCCCTACATTGATTCATTCTGTGTCCAAAAAAAAAAAAAACACATTTCAGTTGATCTCACCTTCCTGATGCCCTGTAGACAGTCCAGCACTGAGAGGTTGAAGGTGCAATTCCCAAAGGCAGCGTCCCTAAACACACAGAAAATTGTATTAAGGAAAAAAAACACCTGTGGCAGCACCAAAGGGAGGATTGGTCAGAGTCCTGCTATGGCAGACATCTTTTAGTGAACCTCAACCTTCCAAATAAGCTCAGAGGTTTTCCAGACACGCTCCAGAGAAATTAAACAAAGAGACAGATGTGTGCTGAAAGGTTCTCTGAAAGGTTTTCTAACCAGCTGCCTCAGATGAACTGAAGAAAATTATGTTTACAATGACTGCTGAAAGTCTGTAAGACACAAAAACATATAAATGTGGAGATATTGTCTAACCTTATTTAAAAGAAAAGTCATATGTGATTAACAAAAAGTTAGAAGTAGCATTTGTGTACAATTTTAAGGAAAGAAAGAACAAGGAAGGAAGAGAGGAAAATAGGATGGAAGAACAAGTGAAAAGTAAAGAAGTAAAAGAAAGGATAGAGAATGAGAAAGGAGTAAGGAAGGGAAGGAGGGAGGGAACAAGGAAGCAAGGCAGGAAGGAGGAACAGAGGGATAAAGACCTTTCTTCATCCCTCTGTTCCTCCTTCCTGGGAGGGAACAAGAAAAGAGGGAGCAGATTTTAAAAAATAGGATGGAGGATGGGAGAGATGGAAGGAAAAAGTATGGAAGTGAGGGAATATGGGAAGAAGATTGGACTGAGGGAGGAAGGAAGAAAGGAAGGGATTAGCTCAGTATATGACACGTTTCAAACTGTACAACTGTGATAACACTTGAATCAGATCAAATCAGTTTTTGAAGTAAATTAAAAAGAAATCTAGAACTTCACAGTTAAGCTGGCCTGAGCCAACAGCTTCCTTACGCTGAGGATGATTTTAAAGCCTTTGGGTAACGTTTTTAAGCAGCTCTGAGGATAAAGACCGAGGAGCATCTGGTATTCAGAGTGTGGATGTTTATTTAATTATCACAGCAGTGTCAGAGGCTCTCACTCAGCTCCCAGATGCCTCTGCACATTGCTGTTCTTACAGTTTCCCGTCCTGATCACACCGAGGGAGAAAAGGAGCAGTTACAGGACCCACTCCTTCAGAAGGAGCTGAGTCACAGGGTTCTGGCTCTGAAGGACAATTATATAAATACCAATTAGTCTGCAAACGTTGGAACGAGCTCAGTTTCAAAACAAAGTGTCCCACAGACACCAAACAGGGCTCTTTAACCTCAGTTCTTTATGCTACCAAGAATAAAATATATGACACAGCCTGAACCCTCTCCAGCCAGCTGTGTCATTTCTTTAAGGAGTCTTCAGGAATAGTTCTCCAGGCTTCTTGAAAGACATCCCAAAGCTCTTCTTTAGATGTGGGCTGCCTTTTGTTCCGTTCTCTGACAGACGATCCACACTGCTTCAATAATGTGGAGCTCCGGCGTGTTCCTCTTTCTTAAGGACATCACTTTCAGATCCTCTTCGAAAATCTTATTCTCTGTCTGTCAAAATGTGTTATCTTTGGCATTTTCTACATATCAACTAAAGAAATGGGGAAAAAATATGTTTTTGTGAATGGTAGCTGGTAACAAAGACCCTAAAGATCCAATTTAAACTGCATCTTTGCTAATTCGTCTGCTCTGTGGGGACACAACACTACTCATCCCTTGAGTTAAGGCCCTCTTTTCTGCCTGAGTTATCAAAGCTCAAACAGAAAAAAAAAAACAGTCCTCTCAAAATGAAAATGTCCAAAGGAAACCTCTAAAAGAACTTCAGAAATCTGGAGAACTGTTGCTCAGGCCCGTATTTGCATGAAATGTATGTCATTTTTCTTTTGCAATTATTTTCGATAACAATATATCACCTTTTAGAGGAATTAAACATGAGATGGAGCTTCAATGATAGAAATCTCTTTTAACAGCAAGAGAGAAAGTTTCCACAGATAAAAGAAAACTTGTCTTTAAGCTCATTTGCTCTCAGGTGGAAGCCAGTAAATAGTCACAGACACTCATCAACCTATTTAGGAATCGTTTAAAACCTCTTACATCAGCTAAGGACTTTCGGTGTTACTAAGAGTCATGAAAGTAGAGTAAGTGGAGGACTCTGACAGTCACTGAACGCCTCGCTTTAACCCCTCCCTTAGGGGGCGTGGCCCTTAAGCCAAGTTTAATCCATCAGCAGCCTGCAGAGAGCTCAGAGCTCCCCATGAGGCCAAAAGAAGAACAAAGTCCTCCTCCTATTAGCGGCTCTCTGCGGTTATGTAACAGCTCAGTGTGTTGATGACAACAAAAATCCCTTTATTCCACAGACACACTCATCTCCTCTCAGTTTGTGCGACTATAAAATGTGGTATCAAACCAGCCTCACTCAGCCTGTTTCTGCAGCCGGAATGCACAAACAAACAACTCCTAAAACAAGCTTATTCCATCCGCCTGCATTACTTCCTCCAGGAATGAAACCAGACCGAAAGCAGAGACGGGCACCCTTCAACATGTTCTAAACCCTGAAGACAAACACCAGGAGCACGCCGTCTTATCATCAGTTACTTCCTTCCGTGGGTTGTGGTTTTAATGGGTTTTTTAAAAAAAGAGGTGGTGCAGGGGGGCGGTTGGCTATGAGCTTTATCAGTAAGGCTTTAAAAACAAACAAACTTACTTCACACACACTAATTAAAACCTGATGAAACCTACAGCTTTTTTGCTGCCGTTGCAGGTGTTGGTTGTTAGGTTAAACATTATCATTGAAAAAAGGATCATTACACAATTATTTCCCACCTTAACTGGAATTGGGGAGTGAAATAACACACAACAACAAGCTGAGTGGAGAAAATATCAGCCCCTGGCTTTGACTGCTGCTGTAAACACATTAAATAAACTCATACTTACAAAGAATTTGGGTTAAAAAGAGGAACTTTCAATCAAAGAGGAACTAAAGCTAGATCTGTGCCCCATATCCAGACCATTAAGCAGATATCGTTACAAACAAACTTCAATTAATAAAAAGACAGAGTCCTTTAAAGAGAAAATAAAGCTGTTGTGATGGATTTATAAAGCGTAAACTTGAAAAGGTATTTTAGCTGCTTTGTTCTCACCTGAAAGGCAGGTAGGAGGCATTAGAGCCGGAGATCAGAGCTCTGTAGGCTTCCTCTGGGGTTTTCTTCAGGTAGATCACCTGAGACAGAAACACACGTGATTGTTTGGGGCCTTAGAAGGAGCCCTGAGCAGGGAGGGAGAAGCACAGAGAAAGCAGAAATCCACCCATTTTCTCTACAAAAATGCCACGTTTTGCAGGCTTTCGTTTTCTGTTTGGTGTTCAAACTTGATGATTCTCATCCGAGCCCTGAGTGTGTCAGTAGGTCTGAGTCTGAGGCTCTGGGTCAACAGCATGAATTATTCAGCACACTCACCAGGAGAGGAACTGTGTCAATGATACACCAGGTCGAGATGTGCTTTAACAAAATCCTCTGGCTTGAAGTTTTTATTTTTTGCCTGCCGTTATACATCCACTTTAAATCTTTCCAATAACATCTTTTATGACACTTTCAGACCTGATTTGACTAAAAACTAGGAAGTGTCTGAAGAAATCTGTTAGTTTTAAGTTGATTTTGTTCAAAGTGATGGCCCCGCTTTAGTGAAAATGAGGTTTGTGGAAGCAGGAAAACGTCTAAAACCTGCAGGATTGCGACCCAAAGAAGACCATTTTGAGACCCCTGATGTAGAGCCATTCGGTTTTTTGGCAAAATATCATCCAATGATAATTTATGACAATTAAAGAATAACAAATCTATCGGTAAAAAACGTTTTTCTTCATTTTCTACCTCGATGTAAACTGTAAACAGTATTATTTCTCCTCTTTTTTTCTGATCTGGATATTTTACAGTGTGTACTGTCTGCAAGCATTTTAGCAACATGGAGTTGATTTAATCATTCTATAATGATTTCGATTCAAACAACAAATAAACAACAGAGTAGCTTTTGGAATAAAGACTATCTTACAGAATATTTTACAGAGTAATGTGAAAGGTTGTGGTAAAAAACTCAATTGTTTGCTGCTGTTTGTCCCTCAAACATCTTCTTGGTTTGTTTTGTGTGCTTTTGTTTGGATCATTTACAGCTTTTTAACCTGCTTGTGTTGATTCTCAATTAATTCCTCAGATGTGGAAAAAAATGAATAAGTGCTCAGAGAGGCAGTGAATGAAAAGGAAGGGGTTTTGGGGGAGTTTGCTTATCTGATTTGAGGTTCTGAGGTGTGAGCTCGAAACCGGCTGATGAAGAGGAAGATGTACTCACGGCATAGCCTCCAATCAGCACGGCAGCATTGGATCTCTTCCTCTGGTCAAAGCTGGTGTAGTGAACGATCCGCTTCCTGGTCAGAGTGAACGACTGCAGGGGAAGGAACACACTATTAACTCACAAAAAATAAGCAGATTCTTTGTCTTTCTGTATATCTTACGGGGAGGTCGGCAGAAACTGGCCAGACCTGCCTGAGAGTTTAAAATCTTGTGCATCAACATGGAAATTTTTTCCATTTGGGAAAAGCTGTTTTAGTTCAAATTTAATTAATTTTGTTAGAACAAAGTCTAATATGATAGACTCGATCGCTACTTTCAAAAAAAGGTAACAACAGAATTGATTATGCTTAAGACTTTTCACGCCAAAAAAGTCCAATAACAAATTTTAAAAAGTTCTCTAAAAACTTAACATTTATATTCTTTATTTTTCAGCTTTTTTCTCCATAAATTTGTTAACAACCTATGCCCTGCTCAAAAACATCACACATGTCAATCTTTAGGAAACATTATTTATGCCGAAATATTCAGAAGAAAATATTCATCAGTAAAGTGTTTACAGCCATGTCTTTTTTGGAGATGGACATTTTTGTCCTTTATGACTCTGCGGGGTCGTTACGCAGCTGACTTTCGATGGCAAACTGCTCTCAAAACTTTCTGGGGAGGGGAGTTGTTCCCAAATGTGCTTTCATTTAGTTTTTATTAGCTTTGGAAGCAGGATAGCAAAAGTACGGCAGGATTTCCGAGGATGTTTATGGAGCATGAACCATGACTTTGGTCTTTTGCTGCGGGTTAAGATAATCTTGGTTGACGCTCCATGAAACTTGCTGCTCTTTGGTAATCTATAGTTTGAACTGTGTTTGGTGGTTGCAGAATTTTTTTTTGTAAGCTTATAGCTGAGAATCAGAAATTTCTGAAAATGCTAAATGTGTGTTTTAATGGATATTTTAAAGGTTATCATTCTTTACTTTAATTCTCAGAAACCTCTGGCAAAAGTCTGAGGCTGAACATGTGGATCCAGACCATCCAGTTGTCATGACGGGTGACAACAGTCGATTGGAGGAATGCAGTCACCCAGGCGACGCACATCAAACACCAAACAGAGAAGATGAATGTCTTACAGTCTAAAGGTGGAGCTGAAACAAACGCACAGCCTGGCTGCTCTGTGGAGCTGTGAATGAGCATTCTGGGCATTCCTGCAGAGGGAGAGCCGCCAGCTGAAACTCACCTTTAGCTTCTTGTTGAGCTTGCAGCAGTATCGGTACAACATGGCCAAGTTCAGAGGTCCAAAGTCAGCATAGAAGCTGTAGATAAACAGATGACACTCAGTTTAAACTGGAGAAAGTGGCACAAGATCCAGCAGAGTGAAAGTTTCTGCTCAAACAAGAAAACATTCCTCCCGTATCAGATTTGAATGCTTCATGTCTGATAAAACCTGAACTGTCCAAACCGGACATCCAGCCCTCTGAACTTTCAGATGACTACCTGAAGCCAAAACAAACACACCTGCAGAGTTTCTGTGCTGGATAAAAAACTAACAAAAGTTAAAATGTGTTTATCTAGGTCTAACATGACGAGGCATAAATCAATCAGAAATCTTTTTTAAAAGAAAAGCTATTAAAAGGCTTCCTTTCATTCTTTTTTCATTAAATAAAAAAAATCTTTTGGCATAAATCTTCACTGACAAAAATAAATAAATAAATAAAATAACAAAAAAACTAAATCTTGACATTAATATTCCTCATTCTAAAAGTTAAACTTTAATTCAGTAACTACAAATATTACGGTATTTATCAGACAATTAAATAAATAAAATTCTGTTCTATAAAATTATTTCAGAATACATTTTTTAAGACATTTTACTTTAGTATGTAAAAATAGTAAATTATTTCAGAATGAAATAATTAAATTTTTGTTGCATTTCTCACCATACAAACTTGTCCGCTAAGCCACCGATACATTTTTGTATTGATTTCTGACCCGTGTTTGAGTATCAGACCTGCTCATGTGTAGCATCTTCTAGAAAATGCACTCATACTTTAGTTTGCTGTTGCAGGTGAGTACCCAGAATGCATTGGTGCAGGCTGAGTGAACTTACTTTTCGTAGACAAACTCATCGTCAATGCAGAAGTAGTGAGTGTTGGCGGTGCTTTTGGGTTTGCTGCGTAACGTGGCGAAGTACAGACGCTCTGTGAAACACAAACACACAGTGAGACCTGAACTCGTCTGCGTTCAGATAGAACCATATGCTTTTGAC